AGGGCTTTGAGGCGCTGCCCCAGAATATCTGCCGCTATCTCTCCCTGCCCGCAGGCTATCTGATCGAGAGCAGCAGCTACTGTCCGAATCTCCCGAAGCAGCCTGATGCCCAACTTGTCGCGGTACGTTGGAATCATGACTGTGAGGAGGTAGCTTGTTGCGGTGGACGGCGTCTTGTCGGGGTTCGAGGCTAGGTTGAAGGGGGACCCGGCGTCCCTTGCCAGCAGGCTCCTCATCTTCACGAGAAGTCTGCTTGCCAAGCGACCTGGCCTCTTCTGGGAGTACTCCACCAGCCGTAGTTGGTGGCTCCTCCTGTCCGAGCCCCCCCTTTGAAAACCCTCAACCTCGTCTGACACCGAATCCGAGGCTTCCTCCTTCTCATTGTCAAACTCCATCAGCTGGCCAATCCCGAAGAGGCCTCGATCACGCTCCTTGCTCCTCTTGCGACGCCTGCCTCTGCCAGCGCCATCTCGGGAGCCACTCTCTGACCGCCTTCTCTTGCGACCTCGACTGCGTCCCCTTGAGGACGATGTAGATCCTTCCCTCGGGGACACCTTCTTCCCAAACCAATTCTGTTCTTTCCGACCCGCAGGTCCTTCTTTCTTTGAGATCTTCTTTGACCTTGACCTTGATTTCTTTTCCTTTTTGCGAGGGTCAACATCAGCCTTCTTCTCACCTCGCCTTGGGGAGCCCTCCTTAGCTGTACCCCGGGGCTTTCTCTTTTCTTTTGCTATCTCGCCCTTCAGCCTCCGAAGATCTTCCCCAACTGCTTTCTCTGCTTCTCCTGGTGCCCGAGGTGTGACTCCTCCTTGACGATCCTGCCCATCATCCAGGCTGAAGACATCCGCATCATCATGACCTGCTGCACCAGCGGGCCCCTTCTTGCCGGCGTCCACCAAATCCTTGCGGTAGGCTTCAAAGTCTGCCTTTGCCACACCAGTGATCCACCACGCTGCCCTCCTGTTGACAATGTCAGCGGTTTCAATCACCCTGATGCAGTCGGTGTGGAACGCAAAGGGGTCCCGTGCCTCATGTCCTCTGCAACTCCTTGTCTCAGCCGAGCAGATGTGGACGAAAAATTCACGTCGTTGTGTCTTGCCTGGCCCCTCATCCAGCCACCACTTGAGGTGCGGGTCCTCAACTGCGATGAGGGTGGCGGTGAGCCAAAGCCCATGCGTCCTTTCACCCACCATAATGACTCTCCAAAGCCCCTTTCCTTGTGGAGCTCTGGTGGAGTCATACATGGTGCTCTCAAAGTACTCTCCTGATTCCCAGTCTCTTTTGGCAGCGAAGCCAGGTTTCTCGACGCTCCCAATCCATGGCCCGGGCATGCCGCCTTAGCCGCAGCTAGGCGCCTCTCCCTCAGGAGGTGCCGTGCCCGCAGGCCTTCGAATTGTTGGGCCTTAGCCCTTTCAGGCCGTGGCCTGCTCCCCGCAGGGATACCACCCCGCAGGGTTAACACCACCCCTCAGGGTTGCCAGCCGTGCTTGAAGCTAAAACGGCCTCGAGTGAATTAGGATAGAAACCAACGTCCACCAACACTTCATGTTGACAGGACTGGTCTTAATTATATATATATAATATATATATATAATATATAATATATATATATATAATATATAATATATATATATATATAATATATATATATAATATATATAATATATATATATAATATATATAATATATATAATATATATATAATATATAATATATATATAATATATAATATATATATTCCTTGGTATAATCCCCGATACTCATCAACCAACAGGGTCTTCGAACACTGCTTAACTGGCCGAAAAAAAAATGGATCAACATCTGGCCGGTGATGTGCCAAGTGACCTGGCTCGATCGTTTCGGCGCTCGGTCGTATAGGCAGAATCTTAGTCGCTCGGTCGTATGCATCGGGCGACCCCAAGGTCATCTATATTGGTGATTTGTTGATGGGAAACCAATGATCTTCGGGGCCCCAATTTCAGAAAAACTTCATTTCGTGTTTTTCTATGCGCCTTGGAATCGACCGTGAGTTTTTCTTTGTGACCAGACTATGTCAAGCATCTCCTCACGAGTGACATGGACTGCTAGGACCTAGGACATACATCTACGATGTGACTGCTGAAAGAGACTCTTTTTGACACAATTTCACATGACCGCAGCTCAAAACTCTGGGAATGTGGTTTTCTCCCCATGAAGAGTAAAAACCACTGAACACACAATGAGGCAGTACCCTGTCCCTCCATAAGCCATGCCAAAAGGGTATAAGCACCACCTCCCCAATCCCAAAAATCTCGAAAAAAATGCAGTGTAGTCCAGGTTCTGTCCCGGACAGGAAGAAAAGACCAGAAAGTGTACCACCAAAGCAACAGCAGCTGCTATCAGCACCAGACCTTTATGGACCATGGCCGCAGGCCGTGTCAAACATACTGACTCTGTGGTTCATCAGCCCTGGTTGTTGAGCCACCCCCTGGTTGCCCTAAAATTGGTCGCACTTGCATCGAGGATCCTGTAGATTGAATCATTGTAGACCTACAAACTGCAGCTGTTGTGGGAAAACGAAAACAGCATTTGTCTTCTGACGTTGAACAACAGCTCGCTTTGCTGAGTAGAATGTTCCTACTCACTTTGGAGCAGGCATTTTGTCCTTGATCAGAAAAAACATCACGTCGCCCGTTGCATTCGATGTCGGATTCAGCATCTTAGAGAACTCGGCTGACCTTTACCCCTCCTACTTTGCCGTGCAAAACAAAGATTGATTTTCAGGATATGTACATATATGTATGTATATATTATACCAGTAGTACCGCACAAGGCGGTGGCGGAAGTTTCAAGGATAGGACACTATAGGAGAGGTGAGTTGTTGTGATGCATGGATGGCACAGCGAATCCACTGATGGACCGAAAGGTCGTTGGAGTTGTGTTTTTTGGAGTAGTTGCAGCGGTTGCAGCCACAACTGCTGGATGTAGTGTGGTGTAGTGCAGCTGTAGTCGTAGTTGTAGTGTAGTGGAGTTGTAGCTGTGTGTAGTGCAATCATTGTAGTGAAGTTGCAGTTGTAGTTGTGGTGTGGTTTAATGAGTGTGCGTAATGTGATGTAGTGTAATGTGCTGTAGTGTTGTGTGCTGTAGCGTAGTCTAATGTAGTGTAGTGTGCTGTAGTGTTGTGTGCTGTAGTGTAGCCTAGTGTAGCGTAGTCTGGTGTAGTGTAGTGTAAAGTAGTGTAGTTGTAGCTGTAGCTGTAGTTGTTGTTAGTGTAGTGTAGCGTAGCGTAATGTAGTTCAATTAGCGTAGTGTAGTGTAGCGTAGTGTAGTGTAATTAGTGTAGTGTAATGTAGTGTAGTTGTAGTCGTAGATGTAGCTGTAGTTGGAGTTGTAGTGTAGTGTAGTGTAGTTAGTGTAGTGTAGTTAGTGTAGCGTAGCGTTGTGTAGTGTAGTGTAGTGTAGTTGTAGTTGTAGTTGTAGCCTAGTGTAGTGTAATGTAATTAGTGTGGTGTAGTGTAATGTAGCGTAGTTGCAGTTGTAGTCGTAGTTGCAGCTGTAGCTGTAATAACAGTAGTTGTAGTTGTAGTTAAAGTTGTAGTGTAACTAGTGTAGTGTACCGTAATTAGCGTAGTGTAGTGTAATTAGCGCAGTGTAGTGTAATTAGTGTAGTGTAGCGTAATTAGTGTACTGTAGCGTAGTATATGTGTTTTTGCATTTGTAGTTGTAGTCGTGGTAGTGTGGTGTGGTTGTAGTTGTAGCTGTTTGTCTGTCTATCTATCTAATCTAATCTAATCTAATCTAATCTATCTATCTATCTATCTACCTCTCTGTTTGTCTGTCTGTCTGTCTGTCTTTCTGCAAGTTTGAAAACGAAGCGATTCTGCGAGACTTCCTCAATATTTCAACTTGACAACGTCAAAAACGAAGCAATTCTGCGAGACTTCCTCATTTTTCGAAGTTGACCACATCAAAAACGAAAGAATTCTGCGAGACTTCCTTCAAAAATGGAAAGTTGAGTGCAGAGCTGACGGCCTCGTACCAATGCGTTTTGCGATTTTTCCAGTCCATCTGTCTAAACTACTGCGCCTACCACGAAAAAGTGATGCCAGGTCATACGAAGTGCTGCACGTGTCCCGCAAAATCATCTCAGCAAACCTTAAGATCTGATGCTCCAAAATGCAACCCTCTCAAAAAAATCACCGCCCGGACCTCCTAACAGCTCTGATGAAGATGTCTCTTGTACTGCGCCTGCCACGGAAATTGCATCTTTGCAGATCCTCTTCAAATGTCCCACGCCTGCCATCGTTTTTGGAAATTCCACAAAACCCACACGTTTTGCTCACTTTTGACGAGGTCCACAATCCCTTGCGCCTGCCACGCGAAAGCACATCTGAACCTCCAAAAGTGGCGCGAACATGTGGTGCTTTTTGTGCATTTTGACTTCGAAATGTGCTTCGCCCCACAACGGCGTGCACTTCTTCGACATCTCAACTTCCAAAACTGGTCCGAGCATGGTGTGCTTTGTACGTTTTGACTTCGAAGCGTGCTTCGCGCCACAACGGCGTGCAATTTTTCATCTCTCATCTGGCCAGATGGCTCCGCACCCGCCGCTGTAGCGAGCCTACTTTTCGACCCTCCGGAGCCACAAATCATTGGAAAAACACAGTGTTTCGCGACTTTCCTACCTTTTCGCGCACCTGGATCTTCTTTCTTCTGACTCTTTCTCTTCTCTGATCTTCTCTCTTCTACTCTTCTCTCTTCTACTCTTCTCTTCTCTCTGACTCTTCCCATCTCTGCTTTTCATCTGCCCATATTGTCGGAAGTTTGACTTCTAAACTTCCTTCGATAAGTGTATATGTATATATGTATATAATTATACATATGGAGGTTTCCGGAAAAAAGGCTAGCCCTAAATCATCCAAGTCATTAGACCATGACCTAGTATAGGTCAACCGTGGTTAACCTATGATGACTTAGGGATCCCCCAGATCTCCGGCGTCCAATTTGGCTCGCTTCGCATGTCACGTGGCGGCATAGACTGTCCGTGGCACAAGACCGCAGAAGAAGACCAAGCGAGTGCGGTCCTGGCATGAATGGACTGGCACCTCCATGACCTGAAGGAATATTAGAATGACAATCTGATGTTAGATAATTACAGTTATTTAGATCATAATCTGTAGATATCTATAGATTCTATAGATGCATGACAATCCATACTGGAATCATCTAACAAGAAATGCGATTTCAAGGTGTGACCAAAGTTGCCAATATCATGCTGCCTTCGTTTTGACAGAACTCGGCAAGCCTTTTTGTTCCGGAAAGGCGTGCAATGGTATGTTGCATCAAGAGGTAGTCTTCTACTCGCACGCCCCATCTCGTGGCCTCATGATGCCCCGTGTCCACGACCTGAGAATAGCAGCTGGGCGTCGAAGTGTGAAACACCTCAGGCATCAAGTTGCACCGCAAAGATTAGATCATCTGGACTCTGGCTCCTTTCTCAGTCGTCGTCTTCCCCCACCAAATGCTGATGCCGATACAGGCCGTCTCTAAATCGAGCGGACATGTAATTCTCCTCCACTGTCATCTCTTCACAGATTTCCACTGCCTCTTCGATTTTTTGAGATCGGCCAGGTTTGCTCCAGATCTTCTTGGTCCAGCAAACTTTGATCACACCTCCCTCGATCTCATAGGTGCCTTTGAGTTCAGTGGTGCCAAACTGAAAATAGGCCATCTTCTGGCCTTGACCCCACGTGGCAAATAGGGCAGATTCACAGGGCAACGAAAGACGAGCTAAGTGCGGCTAGATCAATGGGGCTATGGAGAGGCCAGGATCAAAGTTCATGGTGACTGGCCAGACTACGAAGTAAGAATTGAATCTTGAAATAGTGGATACAAACAATGAAATTCGCTCATCTGAAGTCAAGCCAACATATGACTGCTGTGATATATCATGATAATGAAAATAAGAAGAAGCAAAAGAAAAAGAAGAATGGTAATAATAATACTATTGTTATATCAATATGGACAACAATAACAATAGTAATGGTAAACATTCACTATTAGTCTAACATACAAATCTCATTCATCGTTTCACCCAGCCTTCATGAGTCCAGAAGCTCAGGGTGTCAGCCCTAGCTGCTGCATAGTACTTCCCCACGGCCATATCTTTTGCTCGCGCCGCTGGCGCCAACGGGGCCTCCATGGTGATGTGCTTGGTCGTTGTACATATCATGAGTGATGGTGATGGTGATGGTGGTGATAATGATGATCATGATGATGATGATGATGAGGAGGGGGAGGAGGATGTTTTACATGACAATGGTGCCTATAATGGTTGTTACGTGTCTGTTGGTTTTATCGTGTGATGCTGATATTTAGTGTTTGTGATGTTTTGAACCTGTGTGTCTGTGTGTGTGTTTGTGTGTATACTGGGTTGTTGACGCATGTGTTTTTCGTACGTGTTCTCAACGCTGCCTTCTCAGGTACAAGCCGATGGCTGCCAAACGCATGGGGCACCAGCAATTGATTGAAACGACTCTTTTGACTGCGGTTGGAAAGGGTTTTGGCCACTGACGTGTTCGTATCTGAGACGAATTTTCACGTTGCACCAGTCCGACAGTCCTCACCGTTTTCTTTGAACCAGTCCTTCCGAACTTGGAATGCTAGGACCTGAACGCAGCACTCTGCTGTCAGAAACCTCACATCTCTTCACTCTGTGAAGTTTCTTCTTCGTTCTCATGTCTCTCAAGTTGTACATCGGCCCACCAGCTGACGCTTTTCTTCCCTTGGGCTCCACGAAACCAGGAACCAGGCATTGTCACCCAGGTTGTTGTTTCTTCCCAGGTAGTCCTCTGTGATGATAAAAGCCTGGAGCGGAAAATGGAATTCCACAGAGCAAAGAAAACGGAAAACGGAGGAGAGAAGACACTCAATTAAATGCCATCACAGACACTCCATCTGACTCAACAAACACATGCAGAAAAACAATATGCACATATCGTCATATGGGTATCTATTCAATTCTATTCATATGTATTCCAAGTAGAAAGACTGTTTGACTTCTTTACATATGTTTATAAATCAAAATCCTGGCACGGTTCGGTACCCTAAAATAGCTGGCATAGCTGCATGTATTCCTCCAGTAGACCATGCTCCTGGCCTTGAGGGCCTTGGAAGTGGCTGCAGTCCCCATGCCTTGGAAATGCTGTGAAAGCCAAGACTCAATTAATGGACTCACTAATGTGGTAAACCCACTGCCCATAAACCATCTCTAATATTCTCCAATGTTTTCCATCAATGGGTGGGATATCAACCTTCCCCAAATGCTAGGTATAACGCAAGCGTTCCATTTGCTCTGGGGCCAGCACATGCAACTGGAGCCATCTCAGCATCGGAACAGGTCCCAGGCATCATACACGGCTCCGTTTCAGAATTCCAAGTCCAGAAACTTGGCACATGCTGGGAGTCCAAACACCCTTGGTCTCAACCAGCCTGCAAAGCAACCCAGCAGCAACACCAGGATTTGTGTCGCCACCTCGACACGCGAGGTAGGACTTCCCAAATTTGACTATGGATTTAAAAAAAACTGGATCTATGGATGTTCATCCCATTTTTACCCATAAATAGCATGTTCATTTTCCATTTATGGCTTAGAAACCTTGGAAATACCATGTGCATCCCCCTGTCATGGTATTTCCCCTGAAAAATCATGGTAAAACAGGGGAACTGGGACAAGACAGGCCTTTAACGGTTAAAGGTCAGGTGGGAGGCTGTTATGTTTTTGTGAAAAATGTTGTAAATCTCAATGTTTCACTGTTTCTTTCTGTTAATCTTGCTAAATGTGGCTAGTCGGAGTTGTTTGATGAATGTTTGGTTTGGATGAGGGTAGGGTATGTTGAGGTTGTTGTGGTTTTTACTGTATGAGATAGTGTCCATTAATGTTCATTTGATGCTTGATGTTTTCTTCGTGTCGTTTCATTGTATATTTTCTTACTTCACATTTACAAATTGGACATTCCAACGTTTCTTTCTTTTTAGTTTTTAGGTCATTGGGTTCTGGGTTGAAGTCCAACGTGAGGACACCGTCGTTTGATTTGATAAATTGTTTTAAAGAAATGGCAACTTATGGTAAATATAGGTATGAATAGGTATGAAAACGGAAAGATTTACAAAATTACAGATGTTGGATATAATAAATGCTATATTGGGAGCACCTGTGAAAGTTTGAGTAAAAGAATGGAAAGACATAGAAAACGATATAAGGAATACATCAAAGGGAGGATTGAAAAGAAGACAACCGCAATAGATATATTGAATGAATTCGGTATTGAGAATTGTACAATTCAACTGATTGAGAACTACCCGTGTCAAAGTAAGGAAGAATTGTTCAAAAGAGAAGGGGAACATATCAAAGCAACAGAATGTGTCAATAGACAGATTGCAGGTAGGACGCAACAGGAGTGGAAACTGGACAATCCAGAGCAAGCGAGAGAATACTATGAAAGAGGCAAGGCACGTGCCAGAGCATACTATCACAAACATAAAGAGGAAATAATAGAAAAACGCCGTTTGAATGAAGAGAAAATAATAGAACAACGCCTTTTGAAGGTTGAATGTCCGTTTTGTAAGCGTTGAATTTTTCAATACTATGCTCTATGGCATCAAAAGAACAACTGTGTCAAACAAACGGGAATGGACAATGAATAGATAACACATTCTGATTAACAAAGCGTTGTTAATGAGAAGGTTTTATTTTTAGTGTCGTCTGCTGTTCATACATCTGTTGGTTTGACGGTGTTTTGATAGATTGGATTTGCTTGTGATGGTTTGTCCGCAGTCTGGACAGGTGAAAGGGGTTGATAATTTCTTGTGATAATACTTTGAAAAATAATTGGGGTCTAATGGTTTCTTGTCGTAAGTTCCGTCGGGTTTCCATCTTGTGGATGTTGTGGTTGGTGGATTTTGAGGGTTGCTGGATTGGTGTAGTGCTTCCGCCATTTGGTCAAAAAGGTCTTCGTCCATTTCTTGTTTCATACCGTTAATATACATATAGCAGGGCATATTCAATTCTTGATTCTATAAGGCGTCATTTCTTTAAGTGTGTTTGGGTCTGTTGCTCTAAAAAATGTGTTTTTAACAAGTGTCCTAAATTGATGTTTTTTGAACGCTAAAACGATGGTTTTAGGACACTTGTTGAAGTAAGGATTTTTTGTCTTCAAAAGTTCAGGGTGAAACGATTTGTCCGTGTTTGATGGTTTGGCTAAAAAAGTTGAGGGTGAAACGATTTGTCCGTGTTTCATGTTTTTGTCAAAAGTTGAGGGTGAAACGATTTGTCCGTGTTTGATGGTTTGGCGAAAAAAATTCAGGGTGAAACGATTTGTCTGTTGTTGCTTGTTCGGTGAATGATTGATACTCGGTTCTGGGTATCGTTGATACTTGGATACTGGTATCATACTTGGATACTGGTATCACGGTATCATTGATACTCGGTTCTGGGTATCGTTGATACTTGGATACTGGTATAAGGGTATCATTGATACTTGGTTCTGGGTATCGTTGATACTTGGATATTGGTATCTGGGTATCATTGATACTCGGTTTGGGGTATCATTGATACTCGGTTCTGGGTATCATTGATACTCGGTTCTGGGTGTCATTGATGCTTGGATACTGGTATCAGGGTATCATTGATATTCAGTTTGGGGTATCATTGATACTCGGTTCTGGGTCTCGGGTATCGTTGATACTTGGATACTGGTATCTGGGTATCATTGATACTAGGGTTGGGTATCTGCGGTTATGCAGGCAATATGTGAAAATTACTCTTTGATGACTCACCCACAAAACATCTCAAGCGTCACAGTTTTTTCACCGGCGAAGCTCGCATGTATCCTGCATCCCTCAACTTCTGCTCATCCTCTTGAAAGAGCTTGGCGACGAAATGCCAGTGCTTCAAAGCCACAGTTTCACTGGTTGTTCTCCTCAGGACGCAGTCTGCTGGCTCCTCACGAAGAAGCTTCAACTTCATTTTGGTGTCTTCGTCGCTCTCTGTGAGATACCCCATGGGTCCTGCCCCTGCCACCTGGAGGAGATAGTCCTTCACTTCCTGGTCATCCAATTTCCTTTCAATTGGTTCCACCCTCTCCTTGTACCACTGCTCAACCCACTTGATGACCGCATCCGCACCTTTCTGACCTTCTCTGGAGACGTTTCGCAGTATCAAGTCCAAGGCGCGCAAGTTGCCCCCCACGCGGATGTAGTAGTGCTTCAACACCTGCTCCATGTCATCTTCGGCAAGAACCTTGTTCAGCGTCCGGAAGTCGTTTCCCTGCTTTGCCACCTCCTCGACCACAGATGTGAAGTCTTCGAAAGGCAGCGGTCGCACCACAACCAAATCTGACATGTCAAACCTTTCGGTGATGATGTCGGCCACAGCAGACACGCTGACCTCCAAAATTAACTTGCACGCGGCATTGTCGTAGGTGATGTTGCGAGCGAAGGCACCGAGGGTGGAAGCAATGTCATCACAGGCATCCCTACTAAATTTGTCTCCGCGGCTTTTGGTTGTGAGTTGCAGGTATACCAGGACGGCACTGCCTGTTCGGCGCTTGCACGTCTCGTTCACCTTTTGCAGCATATACTCCACTTGTTCTGGGTAGTATCGCGGCAAATTTACTGCTTGCAAGTCTTTGGGCAGCGCTTCATTGAGTTTCAAGTCCTCACCAGGACGGCTTGACATCTTGAGCGGGAGCACCCTTTTGCCATTCTTCACATGCTCACACATGAGATTGTTCAGCATGGTTGATTTCCCAATGCTTTGGGAACCACTAACCACCAAGAAGGAAGGGGTGCTCAAAGCTTCACCTTGAGGTGAATTGATGAAGTCCTTGATGTATTCCTCCTCGAGAGGCCGTGCAGGGGCGGGCTCTTTCCTTTTCAGCCTTTGCCCAGCCTTCCTCACTGCCCTGTTCATGAAGAAGCCAGGAAGGAACCTTTGAATGAGAGCTTGGAGAACCAGCACTACGATGCTCCCTGTGCTCAACAACGTCCAACCAGTTTTAACGGTCTGCGCCGGAAAAGCCCTTGCGGGCTGTGTTCGTGCATGACCGCTTGGAAGGACGAACCGGCCTGGCGCAAGCTCAACCTGCCTCACAAAGATGCATCTGCGGAATGTCGAAGAAAAGGGACAATACATCGGTTCAGTCAATTTGTGCCAAACTGACTTTGGTATTGAGGGATGCTTGATATGCAAAACCAAACAGGAACCACAGCGCCTAACCTCAATCAATACATGAATTTGAAGCAAATAATTCGACATCTTTGAACAACAGCTTGGTAGAATTTGAACCTGAACCTACACATAGAAACTCTGACCACCTCAACAATTATCCCCTTCATTCAATCCAAACATTATCACAACAACCTCAACAACACATGTAGCAAGATAATCAAAAAGAAACAGTCAAACATTTAGATTTACAACCTTGAACAAAAACATAACAGCCTCCCACCTGACCTCCAACCTGTCTTGTCCTAGCATCCCTGTTTTACCATTTTTTTCCCTGAGATCCTGGCTGATGTAGGTGGTCTCATGATCGATCTCTTTGAAGGGCTCCACGGCAGCCACATGCATCCGCAACCTGCAATTGGCGCTCACAACCAGAAAGGGCCTGAAACATCATAGGAAATGAAAGGAAACAGGTTTAAGAAGTCTTTAAACAAATGAATAAACAATGACTAATATCATTATATAGTATTATATTACTTATATACTACATAGTTGAAATAGACATGACATATTCAAACCATTACTGAAAGTCCATTAAGTCATCCTGGTGCTGGCGAACCCGAATTCCAGCCAGCTTGGCGCAGTAGAGTCGGTGGTTCGACCACTTGGTGCCACCCGGTCTTTCAGTTGCACCTGGGATGACTCGATTCGTCGATTTTGGGGCAACCTCAGCAACCTCTTCACGTATCGAAAATGTCTGGAAATGTCTTGAAACTGTCAGATCCGGTGTCCAAGTTTTTGGATCCCACGGAGATTTATCATGATTTATGAGTACCAAATCCGACTCAGCAACCAGACCAACTCTTGCCGTACTGCTAGGACTTTGTCTTCGATATCCTGCGCATCCAGCGAAAAAAAATCAGATCTTGAAAGCTGGACATTGGATCGCTGGAAAGCTGGAAATCCGTAGGAATCGGAGCTACTGCATGCTCTAACTTTTGCTAGAAAACTTCTGTCCATCCAGCCTGTTTGGCATACTCCCCTGCGATGATGACGGACTTGATTGCGGTATACACCGCTTCTGGACCAATCTGGCCGCAATGGTAATGCATCACAGCAAGCGATGCGGAAAGGCAAGCGGCAAATTGTCGGATCCGGACCATCTCAATCTGCACCAAATTGTCAGAGCGGATCCGCTGGGAGATCGCACCAGCCAGCTTTCCAGCCTTGCTCTTCGCGACGATGGTTGACATAAGTCTTGTATGCTGTGGATCAAGCTATGGAGAAGTCCCCCCAAATAGGATTACTACAATCTATGGTAAATAATATCCAATCAGTAAATACTATACTCTCCAATCAGTACAAAAGTCCCCTCATGAATACTATCCAATCAGTAAAAATGAGCCAAGCCTTTGAAATGGGGATCCCAAATTTTCACCGCCCAACCCTTCGAAGGAGAGCTTAGCTCTCGACATTGGTCTTTCCAGCACATTGCAGACTCACAGTGGCCTGGATTTTTTGTCCCAAATATGCGGCCAGGAATTCCAACAGATTACCCTTCTGAAACCAAACATGGCTAGCTGAGAAATCCCCGAACGAAGCTGAGGTTTACTGCTGGGAAAGTCATCGAACTAAATGGATGGTTATCCGGCAAGCCATGCCTGATCACCGGAGGGTACAAGAATTCCATTCTTGATTTGGATTGAAACTGCAGTTCTGGCTTAATTCCATTCTTGGGCCAGGCATTTGGAGACTTGGATTTGCAGTGGCTTTAGCCTTGCCCATAAAGAATAAGCCCCTGGCTGCAAAGCGCACGGTGGGCCCGCGGCGGTACACACCCCCTGCACCATTCTACAATCTGTTCCTGACTCAAGCCCTACAGGCCCTACATTCTGTCCTCTCAAAGAGAAGCCAATTGAAAACATGACGAAGCAACGAAACCTGCCGGACCCTGGCGAAGAAGTAACCCTGCCACAGATTGCAGATTTGTCTGGAAAAATCTGTCACGATCATTCCATCTGTGCTGACAAGCTAGCCTGAGAAAAGCCGCATGGCTACTGCGAAAGATGAAAGGGTCAGCAAGAAAAAAGGGTTTCGAAAATTATGCTGGCGCTGTGAAACTAATCATAATCAAGACGCAAACGGCAAGAGCATGCTTTCTCCAAGCTGCAGCTTTGCTTAGTCCTTTTTGACCCTTCGCTGATTGTTTAGTAGCATTGTGTGCACACACGTTGTGTTGTTCTTGTCTGTTCATTACTATCTCAAAGCCAAAGCTCGGCGAAACCAGTTTTAGCTGCAACATGGGTCCAGACGCACTCCCCGCTCCTTCCCGCACAGTTTGGGAATTTCATTGTGGACCATGAGTACGATATGTTTGTTATTTCCTAGCCCAACAAAATCGTTCAGAGTTGCCAGAGTTGCGCCACGGGTGCAAGGCCAAAAGACAAGGAATCAACACCAGACTGCATTTTTGCTGGGCATTTTGACCAAACTCATCACTTGGCGAATAACCTCAGCGGCTCAGCGCAACGCAACGCGAAGTCCGCATCCCTTTGCAGTCGTCGCAGAAAGTTGATGCTTCAATACACCTTGATCCGTGGATCACATTTCTTCGTGAGCTGAGATCACAACGTCCTAATGGTCCTAATCACAATCTACTCCTGGCATTCAAAGTCCATTCGCATGGCACCAACAGAAGGTGTCAACTGCGATGAAAAAATGCAGGGATTCTGAAAAAATGCAACACAGAAAGCTGCAGGCTGTTTTTGAACCAAGCAGAAAAGCACTAAAGGAGCTCGCACAAAAGGAGCCATGGTGAAACGCTATGGCTGCATGTCATTTCCTTTTAGATCTTTTAGATATCTCAATCTCAATTGTAAACTACCCTGGACTTTCTCTGTACAACCTATCAGCTAAACACTTTGGCATACACAAGCGCGATAAAGCGCGATCAAGCGCGGCAAGAATCCACCATATTTGGTCAATTCCATTGCCAATGGATCACCATGGATCACCCCTCGGACTTGAAGCTCATCCCTGCAAAGCACTCAATGGCAGAGTCTGCAGGTTGCGGCATGAATTGTACCCCATAAAAATTCATGATAATCTTTCTTGGTTTTGAGGAAATCAAGAAAGTGTTTTTGTTCGAAACGCTGTTTCTAACACTGGAGACAAATCATCATATGATCCTCACATGTTCAACCCCCACCTTGACAGTCCACCTTCCTAAGGCTGTGGATGCTGCGAAGCCACCCGCAGTGTGCTTTGCTGCATCCTCCCGAATCTCGGCCGCCTGAAAACCTGGCAATCCGTAAGACACTGTAAGACTTGGACAAAACAAGTGACCACTTGCACCATAGGCTGATACCCAGCCTTCAGGCTCCAGAATCGACCGCACCAGGGGAACGGACATTGCGAATGGAGGACCGCCTTCCTTGTCGCAGATCGGGAAGATGCACGTCAACAGCGTCCCTTCAGGCTGCAAATTGGAGAGGGTCTTCTTGGCCCATGCACTGCGCACTGAGGGATCAAGTGCACATAGAAAAGTGCAGTCCCAAATGACATCTGCCTCGCTGCCGAGTCGGAAGTGCAACGCTATGCGTTGCAGTACACCAACATGAGAGGGGAAAGGAATGCCATGTCTATACTGACTCTATCTGTGTATATATATATATGTGTGTGTGTGTGTCTGTGTATACATCTGTATGTGTATATATATATATATGTAGACATATACATATACATATACATGTACATATACATATACATATATATATATATATATATATGTGTGTATGTATACATATATATATATACAATTACAGTATATAAATACATACATACAGACTCCAGATACTTCTTGATAATGAAGTTGCAACAGTGGTACAAACTTCAGCCCGTGGCTTCCCGGCTGAGGAGCATGCCTTGGGCTCCAAGTCAAACGTGAAGAAGTCGGCACAGATGATCTGCACCGATATACCGAGCAAGAAACAAGTCGCTGAGATGTCACATGAAAGGGCAACATTTCAAAGCCACCATTCTCTTTGCCACAGGTTGGTTAACAGCAAGAATTTGTCCGAAATTCAAGACAACTAGAATAATTGTTTGTTCGGCAGCACAGGAGGAACTTGAGCATCATGTTGTCTCTGTGAATAGCAGGAGAGGCCTCGATTTTGTCTGCTGCTGGGCTCTTGCTTTCTGCTAGAAATGCTTTGGCAGACTCAACCGCTGTGGCAGAGATATCCACAGCAACGACACCTGGTGTCTGGTTGAAGGCTAGACAAACGTATTTTGAAGTAAAACAAACTGTGACCCAACACTAGAACCAACGAATGCAAATTTATATTGAAATATATATATATTATATATATTATATTATATTATATATATATATATGTGTGTTCAATCAGCAAGTGGTTCCTGAATCAATTCCAAGGCAAACAACTACTGCCACCACATGAGCCGTAGCCAAGGCGGCCCAGTCTCTGTCAAAGCCATACTCGGCGAGCGCAATCGCATCGTAGGCGCGGCCGCAACCAGGCACTAGAGCTTTCTTGCCTTTGCAGTCACCCAATGACCTAGGTGCAAGAACTCACGTGACGCACGTGGATGTTCCAACAGCTCACAAAGACAAAACAGCCGACGCTGTCAACAAGCCACCAAGGAAATGATGATATGTTTCACTTGGAAAATTCGAATCCAGAAACCATGGGCATTTTCCCAGGATTTCCATGGTCCCATCCCATGGGTGCAGATGGAAATGGCATTTTCCAAGCAGCTTGAGCTCCAGCACTTCCATCAACGTTGGCGATGCCTCGCCAACATCGAACTTCTCCTTCGGCTTCAAACCCTGGTCCGTGGACGGCACGGAAGGCACGGAAGAAGCGTCGGAAAACGGGGTCCACAGATTTCTCCAAGAAATGGTAAAGTCCAAAAAATGGGATTAACAATTTATACCTTCAGAAATGGGGTATAAATCCAAAATAGAAATTCTAATCATTGGTAATGGTACAAAAAGATGATCGCCTTTTCACTAACTAATACCTGCGTGTCCATTTCCATAATAAAACAGACTACTACTACTACTACTACTACTACTACTACTACTACTACTACTACTACTACTGCCATGGTGTTTTCCCATCCGGCAGGTGCCTTTTGAACAGAAGGAGTCACAGGAGCAGGAGCAGCAGCAGCAGCAGGAGGAAATAGAAGGTGTTTGACAAGACGGTTATCATCACAAAGGCAGTTCTTTTTTTTTCTAGGATTTCAGAAGGGACGTTAGGCACTTTTTGGGCTCGATTTTGGAGCGTTTTGGGCACGAAATTAGGTGGCGTTTCAGCGTTTCAAGTGGTGGCCATGAGCAGCAGCAGCAACAGGAGCAACAGGAGGGTTCTATGTCTCATTGCACAAACAGTGGTATAAACATTGGTCGAAAACTATAAACATTGGTATATTATTGTGATTGATTTTGCGTCATGTTCGGCACGAAATTAGGTGTCTGGCTGCTGGTTTCTTACTTTATTAGTGGCAGTAGCAGCAATCAAAATTAGAGATCAAATTGGACAAAATTAGATTTCTATTGGACAAAGTTGGATTTCTAGTAGGATTTCAGAAGGGGCGTTTCGGCCCCCGAAAACCTATTCTTGTGATTGATTTTGCGTCATGTTCGGCAGGAAATTGGGTGGTGTTTTGCTGTTTCGGCTGTGTTTTAAAAAAGGTGTCTGGCTGCTGGTTTCTTGCTTTATTATAGGCAGCAGCAGCAGTCAAAATTAGAGATCAAAATTGGATAAAATTGGATTTCTAGTAGGAGTTCAGAAGGGACGTTTCGGCCCCCGAAAACCTAATATTGTGATTGATTTTCCGTCATGTTCGGCACGAAATTGGGTGGTGTTTTGCTGTTTCGGCTGTGTTTTAAAAAAGGTGTCTGGCTGCTGGTTTCTTGCTTTATTAGAGGTAGCAGCAGCAATCAAAATTAGCGATCAATCAAATTTGACTAAAATTAGATTTCTATTGGACAAAATTGGATTTCTAGTAGGATTTCAGAAGGGACGTTTCGGCCCCCGAAAACCTATTATTGTGATTGATTTTGCGTTATGTTCGGCACGAAATTAGGTGGTGTTTTGCTGTTTCGGTTGTGTTTTACAAAAGGTGTCTGGCTGCTGGTTTCTTGCTTTATTATAGGTAGCAGCAGCAGTCAAAATTAGAGATCAAAATTGGACAAAATTGGATTTCTAGTAGGATTTCAGAAGGGACGTTTCGGCCCCCGAAAACTTAATATTGTGATTGATTTTCCGTCATGTTCGGCACGAAATTGGGTGGTGTTTTGCTGTTTCGGCTGTGTTTTAAAAAAGGTGTCTGGCTGCTGGTTTCTCGCTTTATTAGAGGCAGCAGCAGCAATCAAAATTAGAGATCAAATTTGACTAAAATTAGATTTCTATTGGACAAAATTGGATTTCTAGTAGGATTTCAGAAGGGACGTTTCGGCCCCCGAAAATCTATTATTGTGATTGATTTTGCGTTATGTTCGTCACGAAATTAGGTGGTGTTTTGCTGTTTCGGCTGTGTTTTAAAAAAGGTGTCTGGCTGCTGGTTTCTTGCTTTATTATAGGTAGCAGCAGCAGTCAAAATTAGAGATCAAAATTGGACAAAATTGGATTTCTAGTAGGATTTCAGAAGGGACGTTTCGGCCCCCGAAAACTTAATATTGTGATTGATTTTCCGTCATGTTCGGCACGAAATTGGGTGGTGTTTTGCTGTTTCGGCTGTGTTTTAAAAAAGGTGTCTGGCTGCTGGTTTCTCGCTTTATTAGAGGCAGCAGCAGCAATCAAAATTAGAGATCAAATTTGATTAAAATTAGATTTCTATTGGACAAAATTGGATTTCTAGTAGGAGTTCAGAAGGGACGTTTCGGCCCCCGAAAACCTAATATTGTGATTGATTTTCCGTCATGTTCGGCACGAAATTGGGTGGTGTTTTGCTGTTTCGGCTGTGTTTTAAAAAAGGTGTCTGGCTGCTGGTTTCTTGCTTTATTAGAGGCAGCAGCAGCAATCAAAATTAGAGATCAATCAAATTTGACTAAAATTAGATTTCTATTGGACAAAATTGGATTTCTAGTAGGATTTCAGAAGGGACGTTTCGGCCCCCGAAAACCTATTATTGTGATTGATTTTGCGTTATGTTCGGCACGAAATTAGGTGGTGTTTTGCTGTTTCGGCTGTGTTTTACAAAAGGTGTCTGGCTGCTGGTTTCTTGCTTTATTATAGGTAGCAGCAGCAGTCAAAATTAGAGATCAAAATTGGACAAAATTGGATTCTAGTAGGATTTCAGAAGGGACGTTTCGGCCCCCGAAAACTTAATATTGTGATTGATTTTCCGTCATGTTCGGCACAAAATTGGGTGGTGTTTTGCTGTTTCGGCTGTGTTTTAAAAAAGGTGTCTGGCTGCTGGTTTCTCGCTTTATTAGAGGCAACAGCAGCAACAAACAGTGGTATAAACATTGGTCGAAAACTATAAACATTGGTATATTATTGTGATTGATTTTGCGTCATGTTCGGCACGAAATTGTGTCTGGCTGCTGGTTTCTTACTTTATTAGAGGCAGTAGCAGCAATCAAAATTAGAGATCAAATTGGACAAAATTAGATTTCTATTGGACAAAGTTGGATTTCTAGTAGGATTTCAGAAGGGACGTCTCGGCCCCCGAAAACCTATTCTTGTGATTGATTTTGCGTCATGTTCGGCAGGAAATTAGGTGGTGTTTTGCTGTTTCGGCTGTGTTTTACAAAAGGTGTCTGGCTGCTGGTTTCTTGCTTTATTATAGGCAGCAGCAGCAGTCAAAATTAGAGATCAAAATTGGACAAAATTGGATTTCTAGTAGGAGTTCAGAAGGGACGTTTCGGCCCCCGAAAACCTAATATTGTGATTGATTTTCCGTCACGTTCGGCACGAAATTGGGTGGTGTTTTGCTGTTTCGGCTGTGTTTTAAAAAAGGTGTCTGGCTGCTGGTTTCTTGCTTTATTAGAGGTAGCAGCAGCAATCAAAATTAGCGATCAATCAAATTTGACTAAAATTAGATTTCTATTGGACAAAATTGGATTTCTAGTAGGAGTTCAGAAGGGACGTTTCGGCCCCCGAAAACCTATTATTGTGATTGATTTTGCGTTATGTTCGGCACGAAATTAGGTGGTGTTTTGCTGTTTCGGTTGTGTTTTACAAAAGGTGTCTGGCTGCTGGTTTCTTGCTTGTGATAATGCATTTGCCAAAGTTTCTCGTCACACAGCTTGCCTGTTTCACCAGCAATCCCCGATTCTTTACCGGGGTCGGCGGCAGGGGCGGCAGCCCTTAAATAAAACAGATGCCTTTGGGAAACAGCAACATCCAAAACAGAAAGGTTTCAGTTCCCTGGTTTTGCCAAAACTCGCCTTGGACCACATGTCCTCCCACATTGGGCTGGCTCCAGCGCTTGTATCCATCTTGCTGGACTGGGCAAAGAGTAAGCTGGGAAGAGCCACAGGTGCAGCTGAAAAGCACAGCAATTTGGCCAGCTGTCGGGATCGTTTTGGAGCCACCCTCATCAGTGACTAAATCATGGGCCTTCCTGAAGAGTCCGAAAAGCTCCGACCAACAAAGCATCCAACAATGTCATATTTCAAACATGTTCAAATTAAACAAACAGGAAACAACTGGGCTGCAAGATCTTCTAAAAACCAAACAAACCATCTGGCCACTTTCAATTTTGGATGGCCTGGAACTTGGTCTGAACAAGTTTAGCAGTCTCAGAACACAAGAAATCTGCCATTGGGAGGTATCACCGTGTATCCACGCTAAGCTTGATGAATGACTAGACTATATCCCATGGATTATCCATACACATCCATATTAGGATTATCCTATTTTACCCACGTCACATCACCATAAAACTCTTGGTTTAATACTCCCTATCATCGGATTGGTTTAAGGAAAACCTCTATTTCATGGTAAAAATCATGGCTTCCGGTTAAGATTTCCCCTTGAACCAATCCATGGACCCTATTGAAACAAAACGTGTCAGATGTACTGCGCCCCGGCACGAAGAAGTACCTGCGTGCCTGGGTGTGCAGACTGCGACTGCAGACTGTAGCTGAGTCTAGTTATCGGCATATGCAATAGATATTTGTGTCCAAATGTATGATATATATATATGTGTATGATTATATATGATTATGTATGTTTCAATATGATTATGTATGATTATATATGACTATTCATGATTATATCTGATTATAATTGATTATATAATATATGAATATATACGTATTGTATGTATATATTATATATTTGTGTATATACACACATATCAGTCAACAGCCAACAGGTCGTACATGGTCTTACGGATTTTACACTGCAAAATGTCTCTGTCAAAAAATGGAATTCTGAGCTTGCAACTCACAAAGCACCCTCAATGACCTGAATCCTCTGTGTCACTGCTGTGACCTGAAGCACGCATAGCGGTGTAGCACACAACGCTGGTTGATTTGGGATGCCATCGGTAGCGACTTGGATCGGTTTGCAGCTCTTGTTGATAGGCATCATTTCTTCCCCCTCCACCATTGAAACTGCAACCAATACTACCAATAGCGCTAGCACGCGTTAGCCGCCCCGGCAGAGCACAGACCCCAATATAACTTCGATAACTTGACGTAACTTGCTCAACTCACACCTGTGTTGACATAGTGTCCAGTGCACTTGCGTGGGCATCCAGCACCTCGCAGCTGCGACCCATGACCCAGTCGTTCTGATCTGCACGAAACCCTGAGATGTCTGCTCGGACCACGGTTGTAAGTGGCTCCTGCAACTTGCAGCATTTCACAACATCACTAGCAAGCTTCATTTGCAACACTGGAACAATTTGGGGTAGCCAAATCTTGCAAAAGTGAACTGCCACAGCAATGGTGGTTTCGGAACGATATGTACCATTGAGAACTGAATCAGATGTCACTGTTCAAAATGTCTTGGATCTGAAGCTCGAGCATCACATTGCAATACCTTCTGTCCTTGTACAAATTCGATTGTATTTTGCCAGTCCTTCGTTGGAGCTTTGCTTGAGGCCCCGACACTTACCATTTCTGCCAAATGCACTGCTCTACCAAACGTTTGCTGGTGCAGCATGGTGCAGCCACAAGCAGAATTCGTGTCAGCCAATTATTGCACTTTGCAAAGTGTTTTCAGGAGACCTTTCTGAGCCCCCTGCTCTCGTGCCAAATCTTCTGCCTCATGTGCAGCCATAAGTTGGCGTCATTTTCTACATCCATTTATCATATTGTTGGGTATTTAGTAAATAGTGTATCCCATTATCCCATTGAATCCCATTGAATCCCGTTAAGTTGATGCGTAACCCCAATTTGTAGAGCTTAAAGCTCCATTTTCAGACAGAAATTCCACATTTTTCAGAGCAGTTCAGTCCTGTCGTTCCAGTTCATCCAGCTGCAGAGTCAGTGCTAGTGCTCGCTGATGGCTGCGAATCTCAGCGTTTGGCAAGCTGCGAAGGGAAAACGAGTCAAAGACATAAGTTGATATGTGGGCAGGTAGGTATACCGGTAGATAGATAGGTAGATAGACATGCAGACAGACAGATATGATATAGACGGATACACAAACAAATGGACAGACAGATAGACAAACAGATAGAAAGACAGATAGACAAACAGAAAGGCAGATAGAGTAAGATATATATAAGATCAAATAAGATCAGATAAAATAAAATCAAATTCCTGGGAATTGCACTGGCGCAGCTGCACTGCCAGCCGCCTCCAGGGGGCCAGCGATTTGTTTCGTAATTTTGACACCCATTTTGGCACCTCGTCAGCTTGTTGTGGCTGTGGTCGAAGGGCCTGGACAACTGGATCCACTGGATCCAAAAAAAAATTGGGATGGTTCCTCTGCAGCTCGGCAAATCATCTGGAGAGTGGTGCTGACAAAGAAGCAATCGAGACCGATCGAGGCATACTGTTGGCCCACTGGGCTTCTGAGAATAAAAGGACCGGATAACCCCACAAATCAACTTCTTCCAATAATAAGCACCACATTTTATAGCGGGGACGGGGAAGGAAGGAAAGACAAAGGAGGAGGTGGAGAAAAGATTGTGTGTGACAAAGGTGTGTGTGTGTGTGTGAAAGACGGTGTGGTGAAACATGGTGTGCGACAAAAAAGGTGTGGCGAAAGATGGTGTGTGACAAAGTTGTGTGTGAAAGATGGTGTGTCAAAGATGGTGTGTGACAAAGTGGTGTGTGAAAGATGGTGTGAAAAAGTGATGTGAAAGATGGTGTGTGAAAGTGGTGTGTGAAAGATGGTGTGTGACAAATTTGTGTGTGAAACATGGTGTGTGACAAAGTGGTGTGACAGATGGTGTGTCAAAGATGGTGGGTGACAAAGTGGTGTGAGGACAAAGTGGTGTGAAAGATGGTGTGTCAAAGATGGTGGGTGACAAAGTGGTGTGTGAAAGGTGGTGTGTCAAAAATGGTGTGTGACAAAGTTGTGTGTGAAAGATGGTGTGTAAAAGATGGTGTGTCAAAGATGGTGTGTGTGAAAGATGGTGTGTGACAAAGTGGTGTGAAAGGTGGTCGCGCAGCTGCTCCTCCAGGAAGCCCTATGTACTGCGCCTACCACACGACAGGCAGCCGCGGGCCAGCGGCGACCACGCGCTCAGCAGCTCCTCCAGTAGACTCTGTGTACTGCGCCTATACCACGCGACAGGCAGCCGCAGGCCAGCGGCGACCACGCGCGCACCACCTCCTCCAGGAGGCTCTGTGTACTGCGCCTGCCACACAAAAGCCAGCCACAGTCAGCGGCCGCCACGCGCGCCGCAGCTCCGCCAGAAGGCTCTGTGTATAGTGCTCCTGCCACACGAAAGCCAGCCGCGGGCCAGCAGCGGCCACGCGCGCCGCGGCTCCGCCAGAAGGCTCTGTGTAGTGCTCCTGCCACACGAAAACCAGCTGCGGGCCAGCGGCGGCCACGCGCCCCGCACAGCCAGCCGCAGGCCAGCGGCACCCACGCGCACCGCAGCTCCTCCAGAAGGCTCTGCGTGCTGCCCCTGCCACACGAAAGCCACCCGCGCAGCTCAGCCAGAAGGATCTGTGTGCTGCGCCTGCCACACGAAAGAGCGGCGACCACGCGCGCCAGAAGGCTCTGCAGCTGCCACACTAAGCCAGCCGCGGCCCAGACCACCTGCCACACGGAAGCCAACGGCCAAGCAGCGACCACGCGCACCGC